CTTCTTCCTTCCTTTTTTTATTTTCTTTATTTTTATTGCTCTGCGGATCCTCGGGTTAATGTAAGAGTTAACCCGGTGCTTGCCTTTCCCAGCGAGGTGTCTTCCTGTCCCGGAGCGGCGTGGCTCTCCAGCTCTGGACCCTTTCCGTCCCCCTGTTGGGTGCTTACCCACACGGTGTGCGATCATCCCGCCACCCTCTCCGTGCTCTCCACCGCTGCCTTGCCCCGGTGTCCAAACCGGGGCATTTGGGTTCAAACCCATCGGCAGCTGTCTCCAAGTTGGCTTATCACGACCTACCTCGATCTCGTGACCGCGGTAACTCCCGACCGCCAAACTCAGGATCCTCTCCTACACGGTGCTAGGGACCGTATATCCGTCGTTGTTGGGTGGTTTTTTCGAGGAATAACTGCACTTGCGGGCCTCGGCCTCCCCCGGGGAGGGGAGGAGGGGGGAGATGTGTGGTGAAAAACATACTCACATGATTGATTGCATTTTTTGTCTGCTGCACGACGGTGGGGCGGTGGGGCAAGCGAACATACGTTTTAATTTATTTGCAGCCATTTCGAGACTGCATTTACACCTAGCTAGGCAGGACCGCGTTAGTACGCTGGTAGCGGTATGCTGTGGTCGTTCGTGTGCGGCAGCTCTCAGGTACTCGGTGTGTGTGGCTGCGAGCTGTGTGCTGCGTGCATATTTTGGGTGTACAGGGGCGCCGTGTATCGAAAGACCGGGTATCCGGGTACTTGGGTACCCGGGTACCCGGGTGTGGGACCGCGTACGCTCGGAGGGGTATGCTGTGCCCGTGTGTTGCGAATAGGTGCGGCTGTGGCAGTTTGCAGATGGCTGTGAACTTTGCGTCCGTGCACATGTTTTGGATGCATTTTTGGGACGTCGTGTATCGAAACCCCCGGTACACGGGTACCCGGATACCCGGATACCCGGGTGCCGAAATACCCGGGTATGCATTGGTGGACCCGGAATCGTCCGGGTATTCTTCGTACCGGATGCGCGGTCCGGGCATCCGGTTTTGACCAAACCGGGTGACAACCCTACCTCCAGGCCTCCGTTGGCCTTCTGCACTACTTCGTCCCAAATGCACTTTTTCTTCTTTTTCGTCAGCCCCTTCCCATGCCTTATCTTGGCCCTTTACTTTGCCCAACTCCCCTCAGACTCCTCACTCAGGTACTGCTTGAAGACTTCTCTACGCTCCCCTATGTCTTCTCTCAGCTCGTCATGCCACCACTTGACCGACACCCCACATCGTACCACCTTCTTTCCCACCACTCTCTCTGCCGTCGTTGTGTTCACGATGAACTCCCATCCTTCAATCACCCTGTCCCATGCTGCCTGTACGTCTTCATGTCCGCCTTCAAACAGACTTGCGGGAAAAATGGGAACGTATCCAAAAATGAGAATGGGCGTTTGTTTTTAGAAAGCAAACCACGCCTTTGCAACTCCCCCCAAAAAAGTTGACAGTTCTGTAGGTCTTTACAGAAGCTTTCGAATGAGCTGTTGCTCAAGCTGTATGTCCTCGGCATCGCCGAGGTAGACAGCATCGCGAGAAATCAGGTCGAAACCAGCACGAATCGCTTTTTGCGCCCGTGAGAAGGCGTGATGTGGAGCATGGCGGTTCTGATGAGCTCATCTCACAGCTGGGGCGAAGGGGTTTCGCAGGATAATTTTGGTTCTGTGATACACCCGATGGTTCTGAAGAAAAACGCCAATTTAATTTTGGCATTCATGTGGAAGCAGGCTTAATGTTTCCGCCAGCTGGATTTTTCGTGTGTTCTGTATTTCGCCGTGTTTTTTGTGGCAGTCACTTTGCAACATATTATTACTTTATATATCAGCAGCGTCGACCGCGCTAACCGACTGACAAATGAAAAGACGTCGTCAGTGTTGGTCAGTGGGTTTTTAATCAAAAGGTCCCTGTGGAGTTTGTTCACTCGGAAATTTACCCAAATTTCTCTGCAGACCAGCGGTTGAGGAGAACAAAGGATACCAAAGAAATTTTGTGAATGGGTAATATAAATTCCTAGCGACCAGAGAAACTGGGGCGGAGGCTGAAAGTAGACTGCGACTGAGAACGTCTTACTGCACCCGCGCTTGTTCTGAAGATGAAGGTTCGACCGACCACTTTCTCGTAAGTATATGCAAACATTGACCGAGCTAAGAAGGCGGGCAATAAGAAACAGAGGAAAGTGTTCCGTGGAAAGTAGAGCGTTTGGGAGACGAGGGTCCACGGGGTGAATTCTAGAAGGGACCGGCTGGTAGTGTAGAACACCTCAGGAATTTGCTAAGCGGTGTTGAAAATAATCGCATCGGGTGCCACCAACAACACACCCTACGAACCAACTACCCAAAACCTTCCTTCTACACCTAATAAGCAAAACATGCAGATAGATGCACCAGATAGATGGCCACCAAGAGGTAAGGTCTTCTTATTGACCCTGTTGTCCACAGGGGAGATATCGCTGTGTGCTGCTCGGGAAATCGCGGAAATACAGGTAGCCTTCGCTGACGCTATGGACTCATTGTAATTCTATCTTGGACTCTTTGTTTAATCATGCTGTATATATTCACAGGATGTTGCACCACATTCGACTTGATTTTAGAGTGGACCCACCACGTGGATGCGATTTTTTTTTTCGCCACGCAATCCCACGCGGCGTTCCACACGTGAATCTGCGAAGGAAACAAAATTGCTCTTCCGTCTAATGAGACGGTACCCGTGGAAGAACTCAGCTCTTCCAGGCAACAGTTCGAACGCTACCAGCAATGTTGGATTGCAATCCCAAATCGATCGATCACGTGACGACCTTGCTGGTGACGTTTCCAATCCATGGTCATGGCCCTGCTTCAAAATGTACAACCACATCCCAATGCTCGGCCGTTCCACCTGTTTTTTTTTCTTTTGCTTTCCGACAATTGCATTGCAGATGTACCTCAGAAAACCTTCACTTAATGTCTCATACTCTACATGAATATTAAACCAATACGAAGTACAGAAACATATGCAGGACATATTTTTTCTATCACTTACATCGTAAAAATATCTCTTCAGTTTGAAACAAAACCAATGACAAACCTCATGGTATCCTACATGCGTTCGTTCGTAAGCTTGATAATATACTACTGCGTTGATGTCCTCTTGTAAAAAAAGCTGATATTCAACAAATGCTTTCATCCATGCTACATCTCCGTGTTGGAAAAGCCCTGTCTTCTCCGTTCATGATAACATCTTACCCTATTCTACGCAAATCTGTCACATCTACTCTCAAACAAGACGCCAACTTCAAACGAAAACGCGTTCCACCTGTCTGTTTCTTTCATTGATCCACACCAAAATCCTTATTTGAGAGACGCGGACCACTACTGCTGCTTGCTGTAGACAACAAAGAACGCATGTGGATGTCTGTTCCCACCAACTTCCCGGCTTCGGTCCGGTGTTGAAAACATTGCATCCGGCTTCTTTCGAACGTGCCACACACCACATGCGCTTCTGCCGACGTGGTATACAGGCTGCTACGTCAACAATAACATTCTACAGACGTTGCAGCGACTCTCGTCTCGTGTCCATACACCGAAAAAGAAAAATTTCCCGCCGTTGTTGTGCACACACGCAACAAACACTACAGGCAGTCGCTTGGCAATCATGTCGGAGGTTTCAAGTACGGAGGGTACCGCGATCTGAGGGGCTGGTGCTGGCAAACCTTCCTCTGCGAACGCGGTCGTTGCCCCTGCGGCCCCGTTGGCAGCATGAAATGCCATTCACGAGATGCTTGCGGCGAACGACCCCCCGCCACCACACTAAAAATAGCGCAAGTACCGATCGATTCACTTTCTTTGTCTTCACTTCAAATCAGTGCTCACATCACTTACTTGTGCAGTTTGCTCCAACTCGTGGTCACACAAAAGGGTTCCCGTCCCTGAGGCCCCCTCTCTACCGGGTCTCCCACACCTTGAACAGTTTTTTTTTAACGCCTACGGGACACCCATGGGCCGCCTCCATGGGCGGCGAATGAAAACCGGAACCAGTGTTGTTCTCCTAACCAATAGATTGCACCTGCCTTGGAACGGGCTTCACAGCGCCTGAGAAGATGATGAGTTGTTTCGTTGTACATAAACTACAGCAGTAGTAGTCTAGTCTAGTGTCCTTGGGTGCAAGTTGCTTGGGACAGCAACAGCAGAGTGTTCGTATACCCATATGTATGTGTGTTGAAGATGACGGTATCACTTGTATTTAGGACAGCAGACACGATCAGGACGCGGCGGGAGAGAGAGAGTGCCGCGATACAGCAAGCACTCCCGCGGGTCCGAGCCCCGTGGATCAACCATGAAACCAACCCAGGGGACAATCAATTCCAATCTGCGTAGCCACTTCCTACAGTCCCGTTCGAATATTCTCATCCGCCCATGCATACACGAACACCCTCCCTGGTTCTTTACGCTAGTAGAAGCTAACCACTTGAAGTGGGCATGCACACGCCGGATGTGACCAATAAACCGAACGGACGAAAACCAACGCGAAAAAAAACAGAAGGGGGAAACCCGGTCTCCGGGTCAAAACCCCCACCAATATTCACGGTTATCAGACGCCCTATCCCAACTCTTGGCAAACAATATTATTAGTGTAAAACTATCCTGAGAGGTTGGTTTAAACAACTACCATGCGGCTGCACTACTGTCTGTTCTTCAAACAAACATCCGACAAACATCGAAATCACCCCCCCCTCGTTGATGTAACACAGCGCACCAGGGCATAAGGCAATCATCCAACATTTTCTGAGCGACACATGACCGGCATGCGTTTTTCGACAATTCTCTGTGCTCGTGGACGTTCAACAATGATGCCCCAATTTCTTTCACATGCGTTCCTTCAGCGGTTCCAACAGTATCCCATCTTCCTGCACATCTCGCAACCTAGAGAACTGCACCACGTAGCCGCAACCAATGAGGGTCTCAACCGAATGACTACTAGGAAGTACTGAACATACATGTGGACGCGACCGCCTACTACGAGAAACACGGAACACCCTTTCTGGCTCTTCAACGAAAGTGCAGTCATGATAACCAACGAAGATTTTCCAACTTCGCTACGAATACCATCAAACACCAAATACCGTCAAGAAAGAAGTGCCATTGTCAGCGCTGTGATGCGTGTTGCTCCCCCCTTAAACGCTCGTCCCGGCCTGTAGCCTCGATCGAAAAGGAGTTCCCGTTTTAGCACCACGATGCAAGTACCCCCCCCCCCACGCCCCTCCCGACGTGCTGCGGGGTTCCCCTTCACGCCCCTTCCGGCGCACCACGGGGCTGCTTCCATTTTCTCCCCCCCTCACGCCCCGTCCGACGCGCCATGGGGCCTTATATATGGTCGAATATATAAATATATATATTTTCCCCCCCTTCGCGCCCCGTCCGGCGAGCTACGGGGCTAGTGTTTACCTCCCCCCACGCCCTCCCGACGCGCTGTGGGGCTGCATTGATTGTTGCCCTCCCGCGCCCCTCCCGTCGCGGCTGCGAGCACACGGCCCTCCCGCCGTGTTATTTGGTTGTTACCCTCCCGCGCCCCTTCCGTCGCGGCTGCGAGCACGCGGCCCCCCCGCCGTGTTATTTTGTTGTTGCCCTCCCACGCCCCTCCGGTCGCGGCTATGGGCACACGGCCATATCGCCGTGTTCCGTGATCATTGCTCCCCACCTCTTCCGTCCCGGCTATGGGCCTCATTTATTGTTTGGGTATGATGCCCTCCCCCACGCTCCTTGCTGCGCGGCACGGGGCTGTTTTGCTTGTTGCCCTCCCGCGCCCCTCCCGTCGCGGCTATGGGCGCACGGCCATCTCGCTGTACTCGCTGAATGTTGCCCCCCCACGCCCCTGCGGTCGCGGCTATGGGCACACGGACATCTTGCCGTATTCTCTGAATATTGCCCCCCCCCTCCGCAATCTAGACTTCAGTGGGTTGGCGCAAAGACGCGTGACGCATGGATGCGTGGAGTGAGGATTGCTTACGGAAACCTCACAGGTTGAGTGATGTAGGAGATTGCCGGACACATAGACGTGTTGAGTGATTATAGCTGTATACTGAAACCCCACGGAAAGGGGAGGTTTGAGATTGCCAGACACATAGACGGGTTGCGTGGGGATAGCTGCTGGAACCCCNGCCGGACACATTGACGCTTTGTGTCAGGAAAGACACATACTGAAACCTCACAGGTTGATTTGTATTGGAGATTGCCGGACACATAGACTCGTTGAGTGAGTATAGATGCATACTGAAAGCTCACAGATGGATTGGTTGTTGTGTTTGCCAGACACATAGACGCGCTGCGTGGGGATAGCTACATACTGAAACC